TGTTATGGACAACGAACACAGGTGCATTTTATTGATGGCATTTTGAATGCACAGAGATACCGTGACGAGATCCTGAGGCCCATTGTTGTGCCATTCATCCATGACCATCACCTCATGTTGCAGCATGATAATGCACGGCCCCATGTTGCAAGGATCTGTACACAATTCCTGGAAGCTGAAAACATCCCAGTTCTTGCATGGCCAGCTTACTCACCGGACATGTCACCCATTGAGCATGTTTGGGATGCTCTGGATCGGCGTATACGACAGCGTGTTCCAGTTCCTGCCAATATCCAGCAACTTCACACAGCCATTGAAGAGGAGTGGACCAACATTCCACAGGCCACAATCAACAACCTGATCAACTCTATGCGAAGGAGATGTGTTGCACTGCGTGAAGCAAATGGTGTTCACACCAGATACTGACTGGTTTTTGGACCCCCCAATACAGTAAAACTGCACATTTTAGAGTGGCCTTTTATTGTGGCCAGCCTAAGGCACACCTGTGCAATAATCATGCTGTCTAATCAGCATCTTGATATGCCACACCTGTGAGGTGGATGGATTATCTCCGCAAAGGAGAAGTGCTCATTAACACAGATTTAGACAGATTTGTGAACAGTATTTGAGTATTTAAGTATTTAAGAAATAGGCCTTTTGTGTACATAGAAAAAGTCTTAGATCTTTGAGTTCAGCTCATGAAAAATGAAACAAAAATGTTGCGTTTATAATTTTGTTCAGTGTGTATGTATATATATATAAATATACACTGTCAACAGTGTTAGTGAAAGCATTAAAAGAAATAACTTTTCACATGGTAGTAAAATGTACTGCTTTTCTCTGTAGTGCAAATATGCAAACATACTAAAATATGCATTATACTGTATATGGAAATAAAATTATTTTGCTGTTTTGGTTAATAAGCCACAAGAGACCTACGTTATTGCATATAGGGGTTGTTCATATTCTGGATGTTCTAGATAAAAATGCGTAATGCAGTTAATTGTTTCAAGCAATATGATAATAAAAACACCAATGTTCAGTGTATAGTTATCCCTAAATTATTTGCTATTTCTAAAACTAATCCGAATAATCAATTTATCCACCATGTAATATAGTTAATGAGGCCATTTACAGTAGCCAAGCAACATAGTAGTTCATTAGCATCAAATCATCATATTAAAATGATTTCTGAAGAATCATGTGACACTGAAGACTGGAGTAATGGCTGCTGAATAGTTCAGCTTTGCTATCACAGGAATGAATTACATTTTAAAATATATTAAAATAGAAAACAGTTATATTAAATTGCAGTTATATTTCACAGTATTGCTGTTTTTACTGTATTTTTAATCAAACAAATGCAGCATTGGTCAGTATAAGAGACTTTAACATTAAAAAGTCTTACCGACCCTACACTTTTGAATGGTAGTGTAGATGAATTACATTGCTGCATTTTGTGATTACATTTTAAAGTAAGCCAGGCTTCCCAAGCAGTCTTAAAGTAGTCACCATTCTTAGAATTTTTTTATCATATAGGTTCACTTTCAAATCTTATAATCTAATCTCTTTATGAGGTTTCAGAAAGTTTAGCGCTTTGTATCAAAGAATATCAGTGCTTGATGCATTATTCACCAGATGGTTTGCAGTAGATTAAAATTAGCCCTAAACAGTATTTGTAACTATGTAAAGAGACTAATATGAAGAAAACTGTTCATACTGCTTTTATAATAGAAACATAAAAGGGTGTCACGTTTCAATTTCAAGTTTTTAAAGTGCTATTTCCCCCCATTTCAAATCTGGTTTATTTATTTCACAGATATGAAATGCTCATTGCACCTCTGGCAATGTGTCCTTGTTGCATTTGCTTCCCTGAAAGAGCTGTTGAAATGATTCTTCTCGTATTCACATTTATCATTTGACACTTTTTCACTATATATTTATCTTGTTGTTTTTCTTGCTATTTATTCTGTTCTGATTCTTAACCGCAGCATATTTAGATAGCAGGATGTTTGAAGCTATGGCTGTTTGGTCAAGCTGAAAGGGTATTTGTGGCATATTTGCTTTTCCATATGTGAGAGAGCCTTGGAGTGAGAATCTCACCCCACAGCCTTCTTTACTTTCTCTCTCTCTCTCTCTCTCTCTCTCTTTCTCTCTCTCTCTCTCTCTCATCTGCTACTGCTGCTCCACATGCACCCAAGACTAATGAACCTTGCAGTGTGTGTGTGTCTATCCTCTCTTCACATACTCTCTCGCACACATGCCGTCTGTTCTAAATTCTAAAAAACTCAATTCAAGTAAATTATCTTTTTTTCAGGTTGTCTGTCACTCTTTCTTGCCCTCTGGACCTAACACTGTTTCCTATGGACACCCAGCAATGCAATATGCAGTTAGAGAGCTGTAAGTGAAATAAACACATACCCACACAAACTGGTACTCCTGCAATAGGACAAAACTACCTAATTTTATATTTATTTTAAGAGATGGAAATAAGGATGAGGTGAAATGTTCATGTAATGTGTGTTTTTGTGTGTGTGTGTATGTAGATGGCTATACCACAAAGGATCTCGTTTTTATGTGGCAGTCTGGAGACCCTGTTCAGATGGATGAGATTGCTTTACCACAGTTTGATGTAAAGCAAGAGGACATTAAGTATAGAAATTGCACAAAGTTCTACCAGGGAACAGGTATGGATTGACATATAAATATACACTTATATTTACATACATATTAAAGGAGGGCAACACAGAAAGAGGACATAGTGTCCAGTACGGCAACAGCTCAAGAATAGCGCGCACACACACACACACACACATGCAATTGAGAAAACGCTGACCTCATACCTCTTTTACACTCCTAATTCAAACTCAGATGAATCAATACCTCTGAGATGGGTAGCTTGGCAGAACCACCTCAGTATTAGAGCCAGAGTCTTACTGTAGCATTAAACACTTGGAATGATCACGCGTTTCTTTTTTAATGAATGTTGTGGTTATGAACTATATTGTTAAATGGTAAATGTTCATGCCTGAGTACCTTCTGTTCTCTCATCAAGCTCTAAACACCTGATCCATTTCTTTGTGTGTGGGAACTGTATGTTCCCTTTTTGTTCCCACACCCTAGCTATGATAGGAATAGCATACTACCATTCCACCCATGCTATTTCTGCAGTAACTATTTACATTAGTTAACATGAATTAACAATAAAAAATACTTCTAAAACATTTATTAGTCTAAGTTGATGTTAATTTCAACATTTAGTAATACATTATTAAAATCAAAAGTTGTATACGTTAATATTATTTAATAGACCTGAGCTAACATGAACTTACAATGAACAGTTGTATTTTTTATCTAACATTAACAAAGGTAATTCAAACTTAAAACAATAACAAATGTATTGCTCATTGTTAATTAATGTTAGTTAATGCATTAACTAACTTGAACTTATGAAACCTTGTAAAGTTACCTTAACATTTGCCACTGTTTTTTTACATACTATTTCTAGTGTACATATCTAACAGTATGCAAGTATTTCATTCTGAACGTAGCTGGTCTCTTACTTTATTCACAGATCTTAGATATAGCTACAGTATCTATGATGCTGCTGCATTCTGAGCCTGAGGCAAGCTGGCAGAGATGTTAGTGATAATGATACTGTTAATGTTGCTATAGACTGTGCACAGCATGTTTGCCATGTGATCAGTGTAGTTATGTTTGTGTTTCATTTTAGGAGAATCTTACCATGGCCAAGAGAGCTCAACACGTTGCAACTTAAGAAAACGCATGCAAATAGAAAAAGCACCAGCAAATTAAGAAAACAACTTAATCAGTTTGACAACACATGCGCTGCAAATACTCACGATACAGAAATGCACTGCAAATACTCGCAACACAACCAAATACAGAAAGGCGCTATGTACAATGTGACCAAATACAGAAAAGCATTGCAAGTAGCACAGACCACAATGGGAATGTTTCAAGGGGACCCCAACACCCCTTACCAAAATAACCATGTTTTTGGCATATTGATTACCATTTGTATAACCACAGTTGTACAAATACTATATGGTAAACTATGGTTAGTGTAGCAAAACCATGGTTAATTTGTGGTTACCATGGTTTAACTATAGTAACCTTTTTTTAATAGTAAAACCATGGTTAAATTTCTTAAGGGAATTTGTCAAAGTAAGTTTACATAGCTTTTTCACAGTTACAGTAATTGTATATTTTGTCAGCTTATTTAGGCTAATAATATCCAAAAAATCTAAGGAATCATATGATCAGGATATATAAAATAAACAAAAATCTCACCTTTCAGAGTAGACATTGTTAAGCATGTCTCAACCAGGTTCATCACTTGTTGCAGTTCCCTTAAACTCCGATGGTCTGTGGGTATTTTCAGCACGTTTCTGTATTTGGTTGTGTCATGAGTATTTGCAGCGCATGTGTTGTCAAACTGGTGAAGTTGTTTTCTTAAAGGGGTCCTATTATGCTCTTTTACAAAGTCTTGATTTTGTTTTGGGGGTGTACTAGAACAGGCTCTCATACTAGGTTGTTCGAAAAACACATTATTTTTCACATATTTTACGTTATTACAACACCTCTCTCCCCAGTCTGGCATGAACCGCTCGAACAGTTCCTGTATCAAATGAAGGCCCGTCTTCTGAAATACGAAATGTGCTGTGATTGGTTAGCTGGGCCAGTGTGTGTTGTGATTGGCACTACCCGGCTCCTGGTCGGAAAATGTCGTGCCCCTTACCATAGCCACCTGCGAGCTTCAGTGTAAATATTGCGTCAAAATCAAATTAATTTGAGCACGATTTAAACCCGGATGATTGTAACCACTCTAAGTTTGTCTGCTTTGGGAAAGCTAGCGTGTCTCCGACATAGTGATGATAACACTCGTTGCCTTCTCTAGTGCAGCTCAACCAGGCCTCGTCCCATTCGTCGATATTTGTGATATCACAAATCCCGGAAAATATGCGTTGTTGTCCAAACAAATCTTTTGTTGTAGTTTTTGAAAAGTGATTTCTGTTACATAAAATATCTCCTTTTGAATTGAACTTTGAGCTTTGTAACTTCGCAGATCTTTTTTATGCTCAAACAGCAACATTACAGACTAGCTAAAATTTAAAAAGTGAAAAAGCATAATAGGACCCCTTTAATTTGCTGAGGGGGGTTTCTATTTTTCTATTTTTTATATTCTATAACTTAGTGTTGTAAGTCTTTTAAAAGTCCTAATATATTTCAGCTTTTATATATTTAGTTTTTAAAATCTAAATCTCAAGCCATCCAAGATGTAGAGTTTTTTTTTTTTTTTCAGAATTTGGGGAAATTTAGCATTACATAACTTGTTGAATAGTGGATTCTCTGTAGCGAATGGGTGCCGTCAGATGAGAGTTTGAACAGCTGATAAAAACATCACAGTAATCGACACAACTCCGGTCCATCAGTTAATGTCTTGTGAGCTAAAAAGCAGCAAACCATAGCTTCCGGCTAAAAGGTAGAGGACCTTAATATTGCTTTTTCCAGTAAAAACATTTGTATGAATCAGGAGAGAAATACGCACAGAGCATAGTGAAAACAGTCCAAAACAGTTCCAAACAAACATCAGTGGATTTTGATGTGAAAGGACAACAGGGAATGTACTTTTTCACTGGAGGAAACATTTATTATTGTAGCAAATCAGCTCAAAGGAGAAATATGAATAATTAATCATAACTAGTTATAATTAATTATAAATATTTAGATCCGCTGTAAGCATTCATTTGACCTCTCAGTTTCAACTGTCTGTTAATTTCCTGGTTAAGGAAAATAACTTTCTTACTGTACAATACTACTCATGTAGCAAAAATCTGCATGATTAAGGGACTCCAGTTATGAGCAAACAATGAACAACGTCAAGTGTGATACAAGTAAGACTTTATTAACTACATAAACATTTAAACTAGTTTAACATACACGTACACACACACACATACAGTTGGTATAGGAAAAGGATTAAAGCTTAGGCAGTAAAAAGAAGAGAAATAAAAATATGTAGCTATGATACCATCTGATATTCAGCAGATCTACAGCCTGAAGGAAACATCAGTTTCTTAGTTCAAACACACCTTTGTAAAAAGGTGCAAATGATACTTAATGTATCAATTAATAAGACTAAGTTTGATACTTGCCCCTCTTGTCTGTCTGAAAGAGAGTCCTGATGCAATCTGAAGGCTCAAGTTGATCTTTGCTGAAGTTGGTTGATGAAAAAGAACCAGTTTGAGTCAGAGGATCTTGGTGAATGGAAAGTCAACGCCGAAAGCCTGGCGCGAACTTAGGGTGTCCTTAGGAGCGTTCTAGCTCACATCCTCATCTTCTCAGAATCTAACAGAACCGCAGGCTGACTGGCTATGTGTTGGAACCCGCCGGGACTTCTTAGCAGAAGAAGAACAACAAGAAAAACAGGGTGGAACTGTGCATGAGCCTTTTAAGGTCTGAGAAGATTGACGCCTCTCAGGATGGGCTTGTCCAATGAGAAAAGCTGAAATTCCAAGCGGGAGTTTGGAAATACTGGGGAGTTTTATGACTCTTTGTCTCAAAGCATGGTATTTCGCATATGTAATTCAGTTGGGTGTTGATGCACAAACTAGTAAAGATTCTTAGAACATTAATATGTTGCATAGTTATTAGCATGTAATATGCACTCTCAATTAGATCATCCGAAGATTAATTCATAGAGACCAAACATGATATAGGTGAGGTTATATTAACTACACTAAAATAACAAAAATAAAGGTGCTTCAAAAGGTTCGTCACAGCAATGCCATAAAATAACCATTTTTGGTTCCACAAAGAACCATTCAGTCAAAGGTTCTTTAAAGAACCATCTCTTTCTTACCTTTTTGTAATCTGAATAACCTTTTTTCACCACAAAGAACCTTTTGTGAAACAGAAAGGTTCTTCAGATGTTAAAGGTTCTTTATGGAACCATTTAGACAAAAAGGTTCTTCTATGGCACCGTGAAGCACCTTTATTTTTAAGAGTGTAGTGGTCTATCATAACATGCATAAAAAACAGTATTCAATTCAAAAGACAATATACACGAACAGTAATGGTATACACAATGTCCTGAGGAGAAAGATTTTCCTATGAATGAATTAGAGAAGAGTCAATTTTTACTGTGCATTATGTGTCTTTCCTATGGAAAATGTAGTGAGAGGGAGAACTCTCAACAGGTCATTAGGTCGTAAAGTGTATCTGGTCACCAGGGGCCTGGTATAGTTCGCAGACATCCTGGCACCCAGTATGTTTATTGGGTGGGGGGTCTGTGACTATTTGTTAATCTAATGAATAATTGATTTGTTAAATCTAATGAAACACGGTGTGTCTGATTGGTCCATACGCTACATTATGGACTTGTATTTTGGCCAGAATTGGAAAAATGCCTTATTTAATGTATGGATTTGTTTCTTATAAACATGCAGCTTTTCACTTCACAAGTCAATAATTGATGGACTGGTATCGTGTTGGTTACTTGTGGATTATTGTGATGTTTTTATCAGCTGTTTGAACTCTCGTTCTGATGGCACCCATTCACTGCAGAGGACCCATTAGTGTCTCTTTGTTCTCACATGATAATTTCAAATGAAAATTTCATATACATTCAACTAAATGTAGGAGGATAGTGTATAGTCAACGGGTCATTGCAAAATAAATCCCTTCAGGGTGATAAAAACCCCCCCAACTTATTTTGGAACCTGCTGACTATACATTATCCCTCATTTCGCCACCCTCATAATCACACTTGCTCACATTTGTACCTTTAACATAATAACTAAATGTAGGAGGATAGTGTATAGTCAACGGGTCATTGCAAAATAAATCCCTTCAGGGTGATAAAACCCCCCCAACTTATTTTGGAACCTGCTGACTATACATTATCCCTCATTTCGCCACCCTCATAATCACACTTGCTCACATTTGTACCTTTAACATAAAGTATAGCTTTAGAAGAATTGGAGTGCATTTCTCCTGTGGGAATCTATTACATAATGCTGTATTCACTTATATAAGAGAACAGAACAGCATGAGCATAAGTTGCTAACATTACAGACACAGGCAGCAGTGCCTTCACACACTTTCATATAAATTATCAAACACAGTCTCACAATAAACAAGACAATAAAAATAACATCTGTAGCCTGCTCTTAATGATTTTATTGTAAAATGGACACACAGAACTCAAAGCTTCTTGTGTTTTTTATTTTTTATTTTGTACACTGACAATGGTATCAGCACATGATGTTCAAGTCAGAGGTTCAGCCCTTGTTTCTAAATGCACTGTTCTGTTCTTCATTTCTGTGAGTGATGATTGTGCTTTATGAACACTCTATAGATTTCCGGTGTGTGTTTCTAAGATTAATTATGACTGTCTGTGTTACCTATTACGCATAGGTAATAAATGTTTTACTGAACTGTCATAAATTATCCCACAACTTTGTTTATCTGCATCCTGGCCCTGTAATAAGCATCATTAATTTAAAGGAATATTCCACCCAAAAATGAAAATCTGCTCCCTCTCAGCCAGGTCATTCAGGATGTTTATGAGTTTGTTTTGTCATTGGAACAGATTTGGAGAAATGTAGTATTACACCACTTCCTCACCAATGGATCCTCTGCAGTGAATGGGTGCCGTCAGAATGAGAGACCAAACAGCTGATAAAAACATCACAATAATCTACACTACTCCAATCCATCAATTATTGACTTGTGAAGCAAAAAGCTGTTTGTAACAAAACACAATCCATCATTAAGATGTTTCAAACCATTGCTTTCGAGTCCTCTATCCAAAATAGCTTTTTCCAGTGAAAAAAATCGGTAGCACTTTAGTATAGGGACCAATTCTCATTATAAAGGAGTTGCTTATTAGCATGCCTATTATTAACATATTGGCTGTTTATGAGCACATATTCTGCATGACCATATTCTACATCCCTAATCCTACCCAACACCTAAACTTAACAACTACCTTCAAGCACTGTTTATCAAAAACAGTCCAAAACCATTTTAAACAAACATGCTGGTGGATTTTGATGTGTGAGGAAAACAGGGGCTGGACTTTTTCTGTCACGATCTCTAACTGAAGTGCCCGTGAGCTTCGCTAGTGGGGACTCCATTCCAGACTCTTACCACTTTACCCCGGACTCCATTTCCCATAATCCTTTGCCCGGACTCATCAGCACTCACTATAAGAATGGCACACACACACACTCTTTCACCGCTGATGTTCAAAGTTTCCTAGTTTCCTTGCCTTTGTGTTTTTGACCCCCGACTGTTTCCTTGTTTTTTATTGTTTGCTGCCTGCCCTGACCATTGCCTGTGTATTGCATTACTCTTTTGCCTTGCCTTGGATATTACTGTTTTGCTGGTGTTGGACCCTGCCTGTCTGACTACGCTCTAAATAAAGCTGAATTTGGATTCTCAAATTTACATTTTCACTTGAAGAAGTGTTATTATGGATTATGGACTATTGTTATTTGTCCAAAAGCAATGGTTTAAGGTTTCCTTAAACAATGCCTTAATGATAAATGTGTTTCTTACAAACACAGCTCTTTGGTTTCATTACTATGGATTATTGTGATGTTTTATGAGCTGTTTGAACTCTCATTCTGACGGCACCCATTCACTGCAGAGGATCCCTTGGTGAGCAAGTGATGTAATGCTAAATTTCTCCAAATTTGTTCTGATGAAGAAACAAATCTCATCTACATCCTAGATTGCCTGAGGGTGAGTAGTTTTTCCACAAAGTTTCATTTTTGTGTGAACTATACCTTTAAGTCCACTGCAACCACAAAGTCACCACTATTTTGTCCATCTATGAATATTTGAGGTGACTATAAATGAAACTATTAAAAAAACTGTTTTTGACAACATTTTGGATAGTGTATCATGTTGGGTAATTTATTCATGCAGTTGGCAGTTTGAAATGTATATGTTGAAATACAATATATGCCCATTGATCACTGAAGTTGCTGTATATTATTCAACATCATTATTTATTATTGTATACTTAAAATAACTTATTAATGTAAATTGCAAAAGAACAAATATTTATATCTATATGCACAGTATGTTCATATGAGAATAATTATGTGTAAGACATCTAAATATAGACATTAATGGATTAATTTCTGCTCCACTTAATGTAGTGAAATAGAGCTTGCGCTCCTCTGATTTAGTCAGAGTAATGTTTTCATTGTTTTGTTTTTGTTGTACTTTATATAAGGTTTTTGTTCAGTGTTTAACACTGATTTCACAGTGACCCCAGGAGACAGATAAACTCCTCAAATCTGATAGATGGGTGTTTCTTCAACTATGGGCAAAGTTTGGCCCTGTGGACTTGTAGAAAATACATTTTTCAAACTCACTATTTTATTTTAGTCATTTTGTCTAAAATAACAAATGTCATTTCCACCACATTTACACAAAATTATGTATTTTGCTTGATAACATTCTATGGTGGAAATGACAGTGATGGAAACATTTTTGGAATAATATGACTCATTTTGTCTTACTAAGGCTAATTTCATTCCAGGATTTTAAGTATCCTAAAAACACAGAATTGAACTTCAATGTTTTGACTAAATGATATCTTAATTGGAAATGACGTGCAATAAAACAATATTTTGTTCACAAGTGACATTTACAATATCTTGCATTTTCTTGGACACATCACAATCACCTCATATTTCATCTCAAGCTCTCCACTGACACTGCTGTCTCCTTGGTAACCAAGTACAGTTACTTAAAAAAGAAATCTGTAAGGAGCAACATTATTAATTGTTGTGGAAATGATACTGTGCTATATTGTTGTAATTTGTGTAAAAAAAAAATAGTTTACACAATAAGCATTTAAATGGTTTGTTAATTTCACTCTCTGTTAGCATTATTAATGTAATATTTTTATGAGATTTTCATATTTTAAGATTCAAAGTCTGAATCTGGGATGAGAGTAAAACAATAAAACCCTGTATAGTACATAAAAAGCATTTTGTAGGAACATAAATGATGAAGATGCTACAACACTTATAAGACCTTCATATCATTTTAATGCATTCTCTCTTGTTCCCCCTCTCAAAATCTATAGGTTATTATACTTGTGTGGAAGTCATCTTCACTCTCAGGAGGCAGGTGGGCTTTTATATGATGGGTGTTTATGCTCCCACCCTGCTCCTTGTCGTCATATCATGGCTGTCCTTCTGGATCAACCCTGATGCCAGTGCAGCTCGAGTCCCCTTAGGTGAGTCAGCCTTCAAATGAAGCTGTCGGTTAAAACAAAAGAACACCACATACAGTAGCTGTTATTGGAATTGCAGTGTGATGTTTGATGACCCTTATCAGAGTTGCTACAGCTCAGTCTTTCTTGTATTGCCCATTTAATGATTTAATAAGTCATAGGATTTTATGTGACAAAGGTGTTAAAATCTGCAGACTTTCGTAATTGCAATTTCTAATAATTAACAAATAATGTTTCTAATGCACTACCATTTTTTATATTTTTGAAAAAATGTCTCTTATGCTCACCAAAGCTGCATTTATTTGATCAAAAATAGAGCAAAAAAGTAATATTGTGAAATCTTATTGCAATATAAAACACCTGTTTAAACTTATTTCTTTGATGGCAAAGCTGAAATTTCAGCAGCCGATTCTTCAGTCTTCTGTATCACATGATTTTCCAGAAATCATTCTAATATGCTGATTTGGTGCTCAAGAAACATTTCTTTTTATTATCAATGTTGAAAATAGTTGTGCTGCATAACATTTTTGTTGAAACCGTGATACATGTTTTTTAGGATTCTTTGATAAATAAAAAGTTCTTTGAAATAGATTTTTTTTGTAACAATTTCAAAAAGTAACAACTGTCACTTTTTTAGTAATTTAACACATCCTTGCAAAATATATTCATTATTTAATATTCATTTCTTTAAAAAAAGATATTGCTGAATGGTAATGTATATCAATTTCTAATAAATGACAACTAATAATTTATAATAGTCATGATAATAAAATATTTGTTCAGAATAAAAAAAATACAAATTAAATAATAACAATAATAATAAAAAATGTGCAGATTAATATCTGAGCCCCTAGATGTATATCCTATAGCCACCTCAGGTTTACAGCATCAACTAGTAACTTCTAGAGGGGCAACATAAAAAAATAACAGCAAGTCACCCAGTCCTGAACTTCTCTCTTCTTTTTCAGTCTCTCTAATTTATCCATAATCGTCCCCAGAAGAAGAAACACCTTTATAAAAGCCTTTCTATATATATTCTTATATAATTTTACATTAAAATAGCTTGAATATAATGTACTGAAATTAAAATCTGTCCTATTTTTGATGAAGCCTTTGATAATTATTTAAAAATTTAATCGTTTTAGGATTATTTATTTTTAAACATTTCTAAATGAAATATATATGAAACATCTGGAAACACAAAAGGGTAAAAATGTTAAAGAAAGAGAGACATCTTTCCACTTAAACTGGGAAATTCATCCGTCAATCATTCCTATGATTACCCAAAATCCAACCCATTTTTCCTCTCATCTCTCCATATTCCTCCTCTCATAGGATCCACCTCTCCTTCATTCCTTTCTCTCATTTGTTCATCTCTCCATTCCAGGGATGGCTGTTACTCCCAGGTCAGTTTTAACATTAAAGCATCATAGTTAATTTTATATCTTGTGGTAAAGTGAGAAGAAACTCAAGACATCTGCTTAAGATCAGGGCACAGTATATTTATTAATGAAGTTACAGTATGCAACTACATGAGGAAGTCTTCTTTCTTTCTGTTCTGTCCGTCTCTCGTTAGGTATTCTGTCTGTTCTGTCACTGTCATCTGAGTCTATGTCTCTAGCATCTGAGCTTCCTAAGGTCTCCTATGTGAAAGCCATTGATATCTGGATGATTGCCTGTTTGCTGTATGGTTTTGCCTCTCTTGTGGAGTACGCTGTGGTTCAGGTGTGTATGCACATCTGCTGTTGTCTTGTATTGAAACATTTACATTTCCTTGACTCAGGACATTGCAGAACTACAGATTTAGCTACTTCAGCACTCTGTACGGGTGTTTCACACTTTTAGAAAATAAACTTACTTAAAATACAATCTCAGTTTATTTTTCTACTAACAATATCCAAAAGTGGAAAAACACAAGATAACTCAGTTATTTTTGTCATTTTCCTTAATATAAACATTTTCTCCACAGTGAAAATTTGATTTACATTTCAGCTACATTTAAAATTATATTTTTAATAACATTCTGTAGTGACACTGAATTTTGGCGTAAAATGGCAGATTCCTGTCTTGCCGAGGTGTAATTCATAGGTATAGCATTTTATGTATCCTAAAAACACATATAATTAAATGCTATTTTAATACTTTTTGCATAATTTGCAGCTTGAATGAATAAAAATACAATTAAAAATATTAATAAACACAATAATAACCACAAAAAAAGATTTTAATATAGTTCATGAAACTGTGGGCTTTTAATGATTATCAAACAGTTTGCCACAGTTTGTAATAAATATCTGCTTATGTAGCAGTATACTACTGATGTGTTCTCACTCGAGTCTTATATCTCCATGTGTTTTGGGCCATATTATAAGGATTTCTAACCTGTATTTGACTTTGAATTTTAAAACTTTATCCCAGAACCCAACATATGTTATATAACTGTTATATAGGAGTAGAAAAAGTTGACACTTAAATGCACTCTTTCTGAGAGGAAAAAATAGATCTTTAATCAAAGCCTGAAAACAAAACGTCTGTAACCCATGTTCTCTGAGTAGGGAACGAGACACTGCGTAGCTATGACGCAATGGGAACGCCCTCTGGGTGTACCGATTGTCTGAAGCCTGTATAGAATCACAGCAATTCATTGGCTGATGGGGCGGGCCATATATACCTCGACGCTCTTACGTTGCCATCCTTATACTGGCGAACGTGCCATCTGCTCCTCAGATTTCTTTGCCGAAAAAGGCCTTATGTCGGCAGTGCAAGGAGCTTGGCAGCAGACGCAGCATCTTATTCCCTACTCAGAGAACATGGGTTACGCAAGTAACCCGAGACGTTTTCTTTCATGGGTTCACTCGACACTGCATAGCTATGACGCAATGGGAATGATATACCGAACATGCCAAGCAAAAGTGCTGCCGTATCTGGCCTGATGATGAACCAGATAGTATCCACAGCTGGTTCAAGCGGACAAGACCCGAGAACCAGGAGCCGTGTCAAGATCCAAATTATAGAACTTGATGAAAGTGTGTGGAGAGGACCATCCTGCCGCTACACAAATATCCGCTAGGGCAGGGGTCGGGAACCTTTTTTGACCAAAGAGCCTTTTTTTTTTGGTCAATGCATTTTTCCAAAAGAGCCAAAGTGAAAAAAAAAATATTTATATATATATATATATATATATATATTAGGGCTGCCCTCGACTAAAGATGTTTCTGATCGACTAGTAGTCATTCATTTTAAGCATTAGTCGACTATTAGTCGTACTTTTATTAATAAACCATATAAATCATAATAATGAGCCTTTAATTGCCTACATAGCCTAATAAGCGTTCAAGCGCATGCAAAAAAGGCTTGCCTCAGCGCACCAGCAAATATAATTATGAATGTGTTAGGGAAAAACAGCGAGTACACTGCATTCATGTTTTAATAATTTATTGTTACACTAGTGCTTTCTGTTTTCGGTTTAAGAGATGAAGTCGGCCTCACTAACTTGTCATCTCCGCAGTATGCGCCTTTATGCATGTTTCATACGGATTACATAATCTGAGAATATTTGTTTTCTATTTGAATTAGTTCATTTAAAAGTTTCACTCTCTATGGATATATTTTTCATGTCTGTAATAAGGCAAGCATACACGGATTTAATTATTTTACAAAGGCGCAACGTTTCGTTGTTATTCGGAGTGCACACGAATAAACGTTGAGTCTTTACAGATACAAAAGATGCATTACTCTTATCTGTATGACCAAAAATTGGAGCTTCTCTGAGGTGAGCGCCAGCACGTCTACAAGCTCTGAGTAGGCCACGGAAGGCTACACTTCCTGGCCACTTAGGTGGGAGAGCGACGGATGAAGCAGGCCCGAAATCTTCGGAGTCGGATACCGCGGTGTACAAAACGTCCTCTAGCCCGAAGGAAATAATTTTGCGCACCTCCAGGCTTAGGCATAAATAATCATGCAAGAATTCCACCGGCGAATCTGCGTGTGGGCTTGGGCGAGAGAGAAAAGGGCGAGGCCCATCTGCTCGCTCTAGATCGCCTCGAGCTCCACATCCAAACCCCAGGTCGCGGATTCACGGAGGGGCTTGGAGGGGCTCACTGGGCACCACAAGCCTAGTGCGGAGGGTTTTGAGATGGAGGTTTTCACAGAATTTACATTTAGAAGCGCTGTAAACCGCCTTGCGCAAGTGCAAAAAACCCAAACACTTAACACACTTACCATCTGGGTCGTCGCACACAATGAAGCGAGAACACGGCAGCTGGCAGCAACGAAACTCCATGGCAATTAAACGCAAGGAGAACAGAGTTCCAATACCGCAGACGCTGAAGTGCAAATGAAGAAAGCACAACGAAAAACAATACGAATATTGGGCCAGAAAAAACGCAACAGAAGGGCTAAAATGGCGGCTTCATGAAGACATAGAAATCTGAGCAGCAGATGGCGCGTTCGCCAGTAGAATGATGGCAACGTAAGAGCGTCGAGACAGTGCCTGTGCCATCAGCCAATGAATTGGTGTGATACTATACGGGTTTCAGACAATCGGCACACCCAGAGGCAATTCCCATTGCATCATAGCTACGCAGCGTCGAGTGAACCTATGAAAGAGAACAGAGACCGCAACAAAAATGCCTTACTAAGGAACAATGAACTCCTCCTGAACTACGAAACAGATATACAGTTCCTGTGGTTACATTGTTTATCAATCCTGGAAAACTGGGGTAAGAGCTCTGGGAGCACTGAGCCGTATAACACTGCAATTTACATTCTGCAATTACAGAATAATGTATTCTTAATTTTGTGCTGAAAACGCAGAAATATGAAAAGTGTGAAAATGACCTGAAATGATTTTGACAATGATTTTGTGTGTGAATCAATATTACATTTTTATATATGAATTCTCTCAGGGAAAAATCAACAAATCAGTAATATTTATTTATCTTTTTAAATGCCCAATTTCTTTTCATTTGAGTGCAATATGATTTCTGCCAGTAGAGACATGTTTGAGCAATCAATATAACAGAGAGAAAAGGCTAGAAGACTGCTACTGTATAAACATTGGGGTTAAAATTATATTAAATTGGACATTTTATTTGAATGTACAGTATTTGTTACTAGGACACTTAAGCTAAACTTAAAACTGTATGAATTTCATTGCATTAGATACCAAGTGGTGTCTGGATCTGAACTTTAATTATTTTTATAATTACTTAATTACTGTTCACAATATTATTAAGTTTTCCCCAGGTTCACACTGGTGTAATTGCATAAAGGCTTTGACTATCTCTGGTGTAGTCTATCATATTAATATGGGCAGTTTAACAGCCAGAAAGTGTCCAAATATCAAACTTATTTTTGTCAAATGTCTAGCTAAAATATTTACTTTATTTATTTTAAACAAATGCCACTTCGTTTGACTTTTTATGTAATGGTATTTATACAAAATGTGTGGCATAAGAGTGCAAACACATTTGTCTGACCAGTGGAAGATGAGGGAGTGTCATGTCTCTTTATTCAGGTTGTACAAGGAAAACATGATGCCTGACATAAAGGGCCTTGCTATAAAGTATGGCATAATGTTCGTAGATTAATGGAATTATGTAACATCTTACTATTCATATTGTTGTTTAGCATTTTCTTATGATGTTATTTGGTTTTCGGAGGTCATAAGGGAGCGTTTGCATTGCATGAATTTGCTCTGTGTGCTGTATCCCAGGTGATGCTGAACAGTCCCAAGCGCATTGAGGAAGAAAAGGTAAAGATGGCTCAGAAAGAGAAAGAAAGAGAAAAAGAGAACAAGACACCAGCTAAAACTAACAGTGCCAATGGCACTGGTGGGACGCCTATGCATGTCAGCACACTACAGGTCAGTGTGTGTATGCACGTGTATTCCTTTAAGTAAGATGATTGTGTGCATTCATGTATTTGCACTGTCTTTATGAAGAAAAAATGTGTGTATTCATCATATGTACTTGTGAGTGACTGTTCTCTCTATGTAGGATGTGTGTGTGTGTATATATCTTCTTTTTATGTAAGATGAATGTGTGTGTGTTAATGGGTACATGGGGAGATGAAATGGCTGTAATTGAGTCTACTGCTCTGAGCGCGCTCAGTGGAACATGGGTGCAGAGAAGAGCAGAGGATTATGGGGGACTGAGAGTAATTTGACCCGACAGCACCGAGGCCTGAAGCTATGACAGAGCAGCACGGGGGTTCACAAGTGTGTGTGCACTTCCATGTGTGTATGTTTGAGGGGGAGAGTTCATATTACAAACAATATTTAAGAGAAATGTCTTGTGAGAATGACCACAATGACTTCCATGGCGATTGACGTTCATGAGAAACTGGTCATCTTTGGAATAAAATATAGGGCTCCAATCATACATTTATCATTTATCAGTTAACTGACCGAACTGACAAAACAATTCTTGTCGAGACAGGTTTTAACTTATTCTTTACTTTGTTAGATTAAGACAGTAACACAAAGATAGACAGATATATAGATAGATAGACGGACGGACGCACAGACAGACAGACGGATGAAGAGATGGACGGACGGACGGACGGACGGATGGATAGATAGAGACGGATGGATGGATGCATGAAGAGACGGATGGATGGATAGATAGATAGATAGATTGATTTTCTTGTATGTATTTGATTGTTTTATGTGTGGTTTATGTTTGTGTAGGTTGTGGAAAACCGCTGTAAGAAGGTGTGTACTTCAAAATCTGATCTGCGCTCAAATGATTTCAGTATTGTCGGTTCTCTACCACGAGATTTTGAACTCTCAAACTTCGACTGTTACGGCAAGCCTATTGAGGTCACAGATGCTGCCGGCAAATCACAGAACAAGAACAAAAAGAAGCCGTCACCTCCGAAACCCATCATCCCGTCTGCTGCTAAACAGATTGATCTCTATGCTCGAGCTCTGTTCCCTTTCACCTTTCTTTTCTTCAATGTTATTTACTGGTCTGTCTACCTGTGACCATGACAGAGTATAAGTGTGTGTGTGTGTGTATGTGTGTATGTGTGCTTTTATGTTGATGAGGGTGATAATCAAGCATGAACAAAGTGTCGAAATGGTCATCATTTTCATTCTTTCACGTCTGTTATTTTGGTCTGCCAGTTAAATAGTCCTGCTTATTTGTATTTTTCCTTATAAGTCGCTTTTTTAAAATGTGTAGCTTTAAAGGTGCAATAGGTGATTGTCTTCAGAAACATTTTTTGTTATGCTGGTTGAAAGTCTCTTCACATCCCGATAGCAATCATTAAGTCAAGTGGTCTAAAAGTATTTATCTGTATTTATATATTCTATGGAAGGCGTAGGACCAAGAAATGTTCGTCCAATCAAAACGCTCGGTCCGAGCGTTTTAATTGGCTTTCCTACCTGCCTGTCAATGTATGTATTAGCATACTTCTGCACACCCGGTTCGCGCAGACAGGATACATCATCAGCGCGTTCAAGCACGCTGAGCAGACAGAGCGAGAATGGCAGACAAACATCAACAACCCGATCTTCCTTCCTGGTATTGTAGTACTTTTAAAGTTTTCTCACCAGTGAATGACACATGATGTAGCCCAGCGGTTCCCAATTCCAGTCCTCCGCCCCGCTCTGCATATTTTGCATGTCTCGCTTAGTTAACACACCCGATTCAGATAACCAGCTCATTAGAAGTGAGCTACGTGCATGAACTGTGTTCCGATCTATATGATCCCTACACCGTGTTCATTGCTCCCTACTCCCTGAGCAGGGGAAATCTGTTGAAGTTTACTTCACTTCGGAACATGGGCTGGAATTGGGAACCGCTGATATAGCCTATTGTAGTAATGTTGTCTCTGGTATTCTGGTCTGTGAGCGTATATGCGTTCAGGAGGCGTAGTTTTGGATGGCAATTGCAGGGAGGGTGGGACGTTTGATTTCAGTGCTATCAGGCTAAAGTTAGCATTTTCCAAGATCTCCTACTGCACCTTTAATATGAGCAAACTTTGCAGCATGACTTTACAGACAGTGTGTTCAGCCATGTTTGGCCAAAGTGCTAGATAGTGATTCTCTCCATGCTGTTCCATGCCAAAACATCCATAAATGTCTATTGTTTATAAACTCAGGCAAAACAAATTGCTTATGGCAAGAAAGACTATGTCAGATCTTGACACAGACAGCATGCAGTATTCATAACGGGCTTATTGCTTATGAGTCTGTAATAAGAAGGGAATTAACTGCTGTTATCGAGCCATACAATGAAGATCCTTTATCAGCTACATTCTGTTGTCTCTATTATTTTGGATGATCAGATGTTTACTGTTTACATTTTGTTCAGGAGTTTGTTTTAAACCCCTAACACTAAACATCTACAATTATTTCAAGAAGCTTAATGTACAAACATAACATACAAACATTTAGACTTTTTTGAATATTATTTTAGTCAAAATCTCCCATTGACATGCTTTGATACGATGCTTAATACTTAAACTGTATCCAAATGCAATCATGTCATTGTAGTAATTCCATACTGATTTAAAACATCTTTTTTTAAAGACAACGTTTAAAACAACAACGTCTTTTGAACATCTGAGTAATTAATTAATCTTATCTTTCTTGCATTGTATATATATTGCATATATATTATTACTTTCTTGCATAGATCTTAAATGTCTGCATATATTTAACCATATTTAGCTGCTTTTACGCTGCACTTGTGTTGATTCTTGTGTGCAGCCGCCTGAAAACAAGACACATGGTCAGTGCCCTCTGTCGCATATTTCATTTTTTGCAGAAAGAAAAACAGAATGCCTACTGTTTTACAGTATTGCTGTTTTGCAAGCACTTTCCTCAAAGATACAAAACTAGTTAAATACTTAAGAAATAAATACTTAATTATGCTTGTAAGACTGGGATTTTAGGATTTTAGAATGTTAATATTGACCTACTAATTAATGTCTTGTTAATATTCAAAATACAAAATATCACATCCAGGCCATCTGTAACAATGAACCCCAGTTGTAGGCCTACATATACACATTGGAAAAGTGGGGAAATTCAGTATCATGGTTAATAATACAACTGACAATCTTTTTTTTTATGAAATATGTCTGCAAAGTGATTTGATTATTCTAATGAGTGAAATCACTGTGTCAGTAAATTTGCTGCTTTATCTGGCTTCATATTCTTAAAATATTCAGTAACAGTTTATTTTACAGTGTCCTTATTACACAAGTTACATACTTAGATTATGCATAATTACATTTAAGTAACCCTAAACATATATAAGTACATGTAGGTAATTCATATTACTCAAATGTATAATTACACAAGGACGCCCTTAAAATAAATTGTAACCCATAATATTTAGTCTCTGTAATGCTCAGCACTTAATGTGTTGGAATGGTGAATGTAGAATTCCACTAGTCAAACCCAGACATGCACCATGAGCAATTTCAGGTTTTACTGTATGTTGAATGGGGGAACATTTGAAATAATCTATCTCTTGTGTGTAATCAAATGAAATTTGCTCTGCAGCCTATAGCATACAGTATGTGAATTAAAATAATTAAAAATGGAAGGATAGATGGATGGATTCATTGATAGATGGCAGGTGAGTGGGTAGATTTAGTAGTTAGCTTGTTGTAATGATGCAGGAAAACATTTAGTCAAACATAGACATGCACCATGTGCAGTTTGAGGTTTGGCTTGACTGGGGGAACATTTTAAGTAATCTAACTTTTACAAATTGTGCATCATTTGCATATTATCTCCACCTTATTCTTCAATGCCGAAGTAAGCCTATGGGCGAGACTTCCGGCTCATTAGCCGTTATGGGAAATAATGAGAAGAATAACAACATGCAGTAAACGTTAAAACTGTTTGCACTACAAACCAATGTGTTCATAATTAAGATAATACATTAAAGTAATACGGTAAGCCACACCGATTTGCAATATCAAGCAGCAAAACAAGCTGTTTTGTACAGCTAAAAACAGCTGGATGCGGATGAAACCGGAAGCCAGACCCATAAAATGTACAAATGGCCGCGCCGCTTACGGGGAAAAATACGGGGGGTTTTTTTGTGCAAGAGGCTAACATGACTTGTATGATGTTAACACTTTTAAATTTTTGCTAACATTTTTAACAAGCTAATATGTTTAGCATGATGTTAACGCAGCTAACATGTCATTAGCATAATGCTAGCATGCTCTTGTAGAAAAACTGGTACTTGCCATGGCAAAACTAGTAGCAAACATGATTAGAATTTTAAGGACTGAGTAATTTTTTTTTTGTGAAACAAAAGTTAAATGTGTTCAGTAAAGTTATCATAGTTTTAGTGGCAATGACATAAATTATCAACAAAGTATGAAAAATGTCCAGAGTTTTCATGTTATTCGATTTTTAACAAAAATGTAATTTGTACCAAGGGGTCGCATTTTGCCCCCCAGTCTGACAAAGCAATTTCCTTTAAACATTTACAGCAAAATCAGAGTACAGACAGTTTTTGCTTAAAATTAAAAAGAATATAATCAATAATTATGAATTACAAATTTATAATAGCCTATTTGAAACATTTTGTTAGCTGATGCTAACTGGCTAGCTAAATAGCTACCTGATGCTACCTTGAGGTAATTTTTAAATATAAAATCCAAATATCTTTTTTATTCAACCAACTAGTTAGAATACATTTGTTGGAAAAACAAAGGATTTGATGTTCAGAATAACTACAGTAATTGCCCATTGCCCCCTGGGGGCGTTTTACCCCACAGACTAGGCTATGTTCGATTAAAAAAAAATTGTCATTCTGAAAATATAATTATATTTTGATTAAATAACACGTATTCCCTATCTACAGGCCCTACTGTTTTCATATCATATGTGATGTTCTACAAAACAACAAGCTTTAAAACACCTTTTTTTCTTACTGCTGAAAATTGGATCATTTACTGTGAAATTAGTTTTCTCTCCGGTAGCCTACATCACCAGTGTAAGCTTCATGGTGAAAACTTCTACATCACTCTCCTCAATGTAGTCCATAGTTACAATAAAAATGTATCCTGACTTTATCTTGTGGTTATTTTGGGAAAAACAGTAGGGGGCGTTTTCCCCCACTCTACCATACATTGCAGCCTATAGTGGTTCTCAAACCTCTCCATGAAGTACCCCCAGCCAAGGGCGTGTCTACGTGGTGGCCAGGGGTGGCACCGGCCCCCCCTGAAATTTGGCTGGCCACCCCAGGTGCCCCCCCTACCAGATGTCTTGCAATAGGCTTGTTTTTAGTAAATTTCTAACTGCCATGGCAAACTTTGTAGCGGATCCACAAAGTTCTAGGCTACATTTTAAATGGATTATTGACTAGAAAGCTTGCAAAGAGTGCTCATAACCACTAAACCATTTGATCAGATATAACTGCAGTACAAGATTATGAGATGCATTATTTGAATGCTTGGCCAAAGAGATGTGTCTTTAATCTAGATTTAAACCGAGAGAGCTGTGTCTGAACCCCGAACGTTATCAGGAAGGCTATTCCAGAGTTTGGGAGCCAAATATGAAAAAGCTCTACCTCCTTTAGTGGACTTTGCTATCCTAGGTACTACCAAAAGTCCAGAGTTTTGTGACCTTAGGGAGCGTGATGGATTGTAGCGTGGTAGAAGACTAGTTAGGTACGCAGGAGCTAACCCATTAAGGGCCTTATAGGTAAGTAATAATATTTTGTAACTGATACGGAACTTAATAGGTAGCCAGTGCAGAGACTAAAATTGGGGTAATATGATCCTATTTTCTTGACCTGGAAAGGACTCTAGCCGCTGCATTTTGGACCACCTGTAGCTTATTTTTTGAGGATGCAGGACAACCACCTAGCAGTGCATTACAATAGTCCAGTCTAGAGGTCATGAATGCATGAACTAGCTTTTCTGCATCAGAAACAGGTAACATGTTTTGTAACTTGGCAATGTTTCTAAGATGGAAGAAGGCTGTTTTGTAACATGGGAAATATGATTTTCAAAAGCAAAGACTTGATTTACACACATTTGATAGCCCCATTCATTGCAAACCAATACATTTATTACAGTTATGTTATATTATGTTATACAATCATTATAAAATACACATTATATTCATATAAATAGAATAGTCTATGTGGAAATTGTTTTTTTTTCTTTACCGTTATTTCTAAGCCTTAACTGGTGCAAAACTGTATCATAGATCACAT